AAAAAGAAAAACTCAACCTTTCGGCTTGCCCTTCTTCTTGGCTCCACGTCCCCCTGATCTGCAGGGCCTTGAAGGCACTGCTGGCTCAAGGGTTGGGCTCTTGCGATACAAGTTCAGGTAAGGAGCAAGGGATGAATTTGACAGAGACAGATCTGCCAACTGTGCTAAACCGTCGTTCAAATATATACGGGCGGTACGGGCTGCTGCCCACCGCCCCTGGACAAGGAGGGTGTCGAACGATCCGTGATGGTTAAAGTGGAACGTCGCGCCACCACGTCGTAAACTGTAAGGTCTAAAATGTTGGTCAGTGAGGTGCAATGCATCAATGGCCCGAGCAAATAATGCTCGCCAAGCATGAGGTTTGAGAGTTAAAAAGGCTGTTGGAGAATTGGACTGCTTCCAACGCCACAAAGCTGGGAGGATGGACTGCTCATGCAGGGTTACACTTTCGGCTGCTCCTTGGCGTGCGCCTCCCTTAGTCAGGCCTAAGGACAGCACGGCCGGTCCCTTCGGCCCAGGGATGAACACATCCTTTGCCCGTAGGCTCAGAAGTTCTCCTGTGCGCAACAAACCGAAAAATGCGACGCGCAGCGACAAGCCGAAGGTGGGGCAGTCGTTAAAAATTGACCACCCACAGAGAGCATCCAGAACCTGAAGGGTTAAGGGCGGCGCCCGATTCGGTATCTCTACTGATGTCCAGGCTTTCAACAACCGCCAACTTGCTGGAAGCTTTCGCTTGAGAGAGGGATCACGGTCCTGAAGAGCTGCTAACGTGTTATTGGCAATCGACTTGCCTTCGCCTACCGCCCACAGATGTTCAAGGTAGTCACTGACCAGGCCATCGAGGAGGTTCTGCCGCTTTGGGAGGACCAATCCCTCCCCTGCCAACCAGTCGAAAAAGCGGTTTAAGCAGTCTGTATATCGTTCTCTTGTGCGAGGTTGAACTGTGAGCCCTTTGAGTGAACCTAGCTTGCTTCGGACTTTCTTGCGCTCCTGTTGACTCCTACCTTCCATCACTTTTGTGGCCTTTTTCCCCATTTCCGATGTAATGGTCTTCGCGACGGCCGATCGGCCGGGTTCTGGTGTGTGTCCACGTAGGCCCACACACCCACAAGCCCACTTGCCAACTGAAGCGCTCCAATCCTACACAAGGTTCTCCTCAAACGGCGGCTCGACGATCTTCCTCTTGACAACGCATGCAGCACCACAAGAGAATCGATCAGATGCAAAAAACGGCAGGCTCCTTCCTCAAGCTCTTTCAACCTCCAAACTATGGCTGTTTTGACTGCGCGCAGCTCCAAGGCGTTGATGTGTTCCGCATCACCTGTCCAGCGCCACCCTGCCACATCCTTCCATCGCCAAAGTTTGCTGGGAATCGAAGCTCGCAACCTGTGGTATCTTGCTGGGAGATCCGTGCCCAATTGAAGCAGGATGTCTTCTCCCTTGACAGAGACTTGCCCTAACAACCGCGGCACCAGCCCCACTGGAGGCGCCCCCGCCTTGGTGGTTTGGCGAAGGGGAGGTCGGAGCAGGAGACTTGCAAGGTTCTGTTCTTTCCCCGGGGTCAACCGCAAGACAAGCGTCTCCACGTCAAGGTCGGGCAACATTCCAAGGGTACGAAACAGGCAGTAGAGCAAGTAGACGGCCACCGGAATCGACCAACTGTTACCAAGCAACCGGAGCCGACAGTCATTGTGATCTGGCTTCCCTTCCATGCTCTTGACCATGCACCGACGGGTATAGTCCATACAAAACCCAAGAATGGCCTCCCTCTCCTTGACTGAAGGAACCCGATGTTCGCCTGCGCGGTTCACCACACAGTTCTCAGCACGGTATTGGTATGGCGGGAACCGGTGTAGGTCCGCTTTCCACCGAGCGATTGCATCCGGGGGACACAAACTGAGTCCTGCGGGCCGGCGTCCCGGCTGAGGCGACGGCCTAGCAGTGGTAAACGTGGGAAAGGGACTGTCCGCACGAACACGGCGCCAGCCAGCCTCCAGGAAATCCTGCTCATCCACTGTTGCGACCAACTCAACGCGCCCCTGCACTGGGAGAGCACTTTCTCTCCCCTTGATCACTGTGGCTCCGGGCATGCTCCAAGGATCCCAGGTGCACCAGTACAACCTAGGCCGCCTGGCAAGACTCACCTGACCTGCGTCTACCAACCACGGCGTAGTCTCGTATGCCTGCGACATGGTTTCACAGTCCTGGACGTCCATCGAAGCGACATTCTCAACAAGGCGATGAACCGGGCACCAACTGAAGTGCTTGCGAATCAAGGCTTCGACCCTGGGGATATGCTGGAAAAGGCTAGATCGCAGATCTCGGAGTGCCCCCTTCCGATCGACGTTGAGTCCGGAAACGCCTTGACACGGTGGTCCAGCTCCTAAAAGCACAAGTCCTACGCTGGCAAAGCGCAACCTCCATTCAATCACATGCTCCTCAGTGATCGCGGCAACATCTTCAATGCAGACGACATCCGGAAAATACGACTCCACCACTCGGTTGGCCTCGGGCGAAATCTCAACCGACACATATCCTCCTACAGGCACACGCAGCGCATCCAGGGCAACCCGCAAGGCACCTATCCCATCAAAGAGCGACACAACGAGAACCTGGTCTATCTCCTCCGGCTCAACTGCATCTCCGCGACACTCTGCCTGACAAGCCGCTACCCCAAAAGGACTAAGCTCTCGACTGACGCACAGTCCACCTCCGGTGGTAGATGCATCACTGGCTGTGACCAGTTCCGAGGTACTCAGTCTGAAGTCCATGTAGGCCAAGGGGGTCAAAGCGATAAACCTCAACAACTCAAGCGCCACCGCAGTGGGAAGGGGTCGCCTACACCTGGGTCCCCACTTGCTCAGCTCAGTCACTTGTCTCCAGATGGCATTCAACCCTGACAGCAATGGTCGCCTGAACATCGCAATGTAGACGAAGCCTCCACCAACTACCTGCAACTCACGCTGCGACGCTTTCCCGGCAATGCAGAGCTCCAAGGAACCTCACATACCTACCTACCTTGTCCGCTTTGGGGGAGGCACGGCCCAAGTCTCCATCCACCCAGGCCCCCTGTACTTCAGCTTGCACCTGTTGAGTGACGCCCTTCTTGGGATGACGTGGGAGACCCAATTGCTGGTAGGTCTCCCTTACTGCCAGAGTCCAGGCTGACGGAGTTCCCTTCAAGGTCTCGGCAAGCGCCCTATCCACTTTGTGCAGCTCGTCATAATTGTCAAGGTACACACGGTACTGATGAGGGGCCGTGCTCTGATGACGATCGCGGCGAATCTCCTGTTGTCGGCCTGCCAGTTGCTTTTCTCCTCCCAATGCTTGCTGTATGACTCTGCGGTGCACATGCTGAGCAATCGCCACGGAGTTTATAAACCCCATGGGCAACACCCTACTTACCAAGTGCCAACCGGTGCCGGAGTAACCTGCTGGGAGGCCTTCGGGCGGAACCTCCCTTGCAAACCCCATGAACCGGTGCCATTCAACTGGAATCCGAAAGAGATAGAAAAAACACCTCACGTCTTCTGACGACGTGAGGAGGAGTTCTCCGTCATCTAAAACGGTGCCAGCCATTCCCGTGACCGTGGGGAGTGTGGATGTGTCTCCGACGAGGTTTCGACATAGACCGTTTGTTGGGACCAGATTCATGATCAGCCGGCATACCTCGAATTCTTCACCTTTGTCATCTACAGCCTTCTCTCCCTTCTCAACTGCAAACAGGCCGTTAAGTACAGGTCTATCACCAACATGGTAAAGCTGCTCTCTCTTCATGAGCCCACACACTCCCCGCTCGAGCAGTCCCAGGCACACCTCGGCCCAGTTCATCTGGCTCACCATCACGGCTGGCGTCTTTCCCAAGCGCTGATCCTGAGGCGGGAGCAGGAATTTCTCAAACTCAGCGACGTAAGAAAGGGTTCCGCCATCACAGAATTCCCCCAGGTCTAGGCTTCCTACCCCCTCAGGAAAGGCGGCGGCTATCATCTTCCACTCAAATGCTCGAGCAACGCGAACCTCCTCACCAGAATAGTCAATACCTTTTGTGGCAAAGAACTGATCCAGGCAAACTGGGGGGAGCACCAACCGGGAAACCTCACTGCTCTCAACCACTCCTTTAAGTCTCTCAATGATCCTTTTCTGCACCTTATTGACCTTCTTCAGACCCTTTGATTCAACCCCATAAAGGCTGTTCAAACCCCTCACAACCAAATCCAACGTGGGACACGCTTTCAAGCACTCCTTCAACCCCTCAGGAAGCGGGAGAGGGAAGACCCCCTCCGTGGACTGCCCGCAACGCGTGGTCTGTGACAACACCTCCAGGGATTGAGAAAGTGCCGGCCCCA